CCTCCCGATATCGTGTATATTACACATTAATTGCTATTTTGCTTTCTGAGGCCCATAGGGCATCAAGGGTACATCCCAGCATGTGGACCAAATTTCAGTTGGTTGGCAAAGTGTTTGTTAGCTCCCTCTCCTACCAGATAAAACGGATTGGAGTGGGTAGAACTCGCCGGGTACGCCGTGCACGAATTTATCGTTCGGTTCTTGAGAGAATGAGATGAATCGTAGGTGTTTGTATAAGCTGTCCTTCTCTATCGATCTAATGATCTTAACCCATTCTTTTCGACTATTATTTGCCCCTGATTCCGGGTCATACTAAATGAAAACCTGCGGGCAGCATGGATGTCCTCCCCAATCTGCAATTTATCTGTTACTTTGTAGTGACTTCTTACTTCGCATAGTATCCCAAAATGGTATTCGTCGATTTGGCCTTTCCTATAGCACTTTTTCAAGAGTTGGGTGACCCATTCTATTGGCATCCAATAAACTCGCTTTATATCTTCTTTTTCGATTCGACTCTTCTCAGCTTCAGTCAACAGCGATGGTACCTTAAACCATTTTTTATAGAAAAAGAACGGTGTCAATCCCAAATCAGAATGTTGAGGGCTAAAAACTTTTTTCCCGTTTCAGAGTAGTAGCTATCGATCAAAAACATCAGCTCTTGGGGTGAATGATGGGTGCAAATTGGCCCAAAAACTGGCATCAGGTATGCTTTTGACGCATTCAAAGTTGCTTACCAAGATGTCAACATCACATCTACAGCTGAGCATCTGCCATAAGCCCTCCTGAGCCTTTTAGCGCTAATCAACCCTGCTCTGGGATGCGCCCAGCGTTCGACCTCCGTTCAGGGTCCTAGTGGCGCGCCATTGTAAAGCCAGCGGTTTTATTTTCTCCTTTTGTCTGCTACCAATCAGCTAACCAAAGAATGGATGGCTTGGCTGCCCTGGGCGGTTATCGACTGAGTTTTGATCCCTCGGACCATGCATGTGTGGTAGTGTGACACTTGCCACCACACCATACCCCTCTAGAAAAGAGAAGAAACTCACCAGATGATTATACGTAGGAAATCGTCGACGAATTCTTTCACTGATATCCCGAAAAACAAGTACGTAACTTAGTATCATGTAACGCATTATTGTTTTTCGAGTCATACGATCGGTTTTCTGCAAAAGACAATTTCTAAATGTGTCGGCCCGAAGCCCACAGCCAAGACAGGGGTCCGGAACCTTTACCCCGAAACGGCTTCGCGCACGCCGCACCCGCCGCGTATCACAGCATTGCGATGGAAGATTGGAGCGCGCAAGTGAGGTAGGGGGTCCTTTGACTTTTTGAATTGGCTGGCCGCTCCCTTCAATTCCAATGCGGTCTTGATCGCTGCTTACATAGGAGGAGTCACTCTAATTAATCAAGTCTAATAAACA